CTTTGTTGTAAGAGTGTGGCTTTCGTGCAACCCCTAGCCATGAATTGTTCCACCGCATCTTCCGGTACTAAATGCCATCCAAGAGCAGAAAAAAAACACTACATATTCCAAGATCACCAACCTGATACGATGGTGTTGGGTGAGTCAATAATTGAGACGGATTAGGTTTCACTGTACGCAAACTAGCTAAATGTGTAAAAGCTTCAAAGCCGGAGAAAGGCTTCCTATGAACCTATGCCACACATACCACCCTCGTCTAACGACTTTCTCATAGTGCTAGCCAGAGCTGGTCGCTTCATTTTTCGATTTCAGCAACTTTTCGATAAGCATTATGGATTTCGTAGAGTGGATCTAACGTTAGGAAGAAAAGTGCACTGGCACTTTAAACAGGTGAGATTGCGTCGTCTACAGATTTAGCCGTTAGCCATTTGAAGGTGATGACGAAATCAAAGTTCTATTAGAGGGTGGAGTTGGCTGACCCTCTGAGTGAAATTAAATCACCAGTGCGAAAAGTAGCCGGTTCATCTGAGCTTTGATCATTGTTTTCTTAACTACAGGTGGTGAAATGGAGATTAATCGACTGGGCTCATTTTTGGATGTCGCGAGTGCCCGTATCAAAGTGGCTCCCAGCCTACGATTGGAAGAAGGATCTGAGAGCAGACATAATTGGAGGACTGATGCTCTCCATAATGGCTCTTCCTCAAGGTTAGACTTGCAACTTGGCTTACTGGAAGGGAACGGTTCACGGAAGCTCGGCCCGCTTCATTACTGTCGTAGTTTATTGAACTAGCAAATGTATTGCTCTGCATATAGACTTGAAAATAGAACCACGAGAAGAGTGAAGAATCACTTCTCTTCCGACAAGGGATGGAAATGAAAAACTCTTCGCTTGGTCAATCTGTCACCCTGTCACTGGTTTAGAAAAGACGTTTGTCAGGTCCTTGTCGCTTCGTAGCGTCCACCCCGACCCTAGCAGGGGATGTTGTGGGCACTGCAGAGCGGTGGCTAGTGGCTGACATTATACAGTTTCGATGGCCTTGAAGAAAAGACGATAAATGCAAGATATGCTACGGTTTTGAACCGTTAGTCGTCGCGATTACAAGGTTTGATATAATATTTATTAGATACACACAAAATATATGTACACGTAGGCTGACTGCCCTGCGGCTTCGACACACGGTTGAGCCCGAATGCGTGGGAGTGTGGTGTGGATGCGCCCAATGGAGGAGGCGGGGTTTATCAGGGTACCGTCCGTATCCTGCGGTGCTTACTTGAGTCGAGCGACCGCTCGACTGGGCTAGGTATTTCACGTCTAGCCAGGGTACAGCATCTGTGCGAAACCCATAGGGGGGTCGTACTTGGCCGCTGGGGAGGGGGGGGTCGTAATCTCAAGGGTCACTCAGAGCCGGGCAATGCTTCGACATTTCAGTTGATAGTGGGAGTGGAGCTATGGAAGTCAAGATGTTAAAAAAATGAAAATTATTATGAGTGTATTCTTTACAGATTTAACTGCTACGTTTAACAGCCCTCTTTTCATGCGAAATCCCCAAAAATGGGTTCGTACTTGGCCGCGGGGGACGTGGGGAGTATCGCAAAAGTAGGCTCGCTAGGCATCAAACAGTACAAAAGTGTCATTGCTAAGTTTGATGGAACGGACGGAAAGCTGCAGAAGACCCGGATGTAAATAGGACTACAAAATAATAAAAAATTATTAGCAATATAGCAAGAATAGCAAGAATAAATAAATAAATAAATAAATAAATAAATATCAGTTAATAGCATGAACTCGTAAGTACGTAGATGACTAAATAATACGTCTCAAACAGATTCGTGCGTATTGTCCTTTCCAAACCCTAAACAAACATCTGCTTGCATGGATAAAAGCACCTGAAATCAGAATTTACACCTTTCCCACCTCTGCGTAGGAGCGTACGGCGCACACTCGGACCAAATCGATCAGTGATAGCCGAGCTCCTCTTTCACTCATTTGAAGGGAAATATGTGTTTTGAAGGCACACTGAAGTTTCCGAAGGTGTATCCTCACAATGGCACAGAAGGAGTCGATTTTTCGGGTGGGTCAGAGGGTAGCGCGTCTGTGACCCATCTAAAATATCTCCTGAACTAGCGGGTCTTCAGGAAAACTGTAAAGCTTATTGGAAAGAGAAAAGATAGGGCGGTTTCAAGACGATTTTAATCCTGATGAAATTGCGTTCGAAATAAGTAATCCTCGTGTGAAGCATAAAAACCCGCTTGCCATTTACCCCTAGCCGATCCGAAACCCATCCGAAATATTTCACGAACGGGAAACATTCAGATTGCAACTGGGTAGAAAACGCAACAGTAGGAACATTCCCGTTGCATGCTGCTAACCATTCATCAAAAGCCGCGGCCCTCAAGAGATATTTCCCCCAGGACGTTGGCAGGTTCAACAACCGCGTCGTGCATGTTTGCATGATTTCCCGTCACCATTCATTGAATGCACATCTGGGGCCTGACACGCTGACCTTGGGGCTATTTTTTCACCAATTTAGCTTATCAATGATCACCATTAGTCGCTGTTTCGATTGTGTTCCTTGTTACAAGTTGCATGTCATACAGTGCAGTTCTCAGCGGACGGTGGGGCGGTCCTAAGGCCACGCTGGCTAGCGGCCCGATATTTGCCTGTTGGTCGAAAGCCGCAATAACCTTGCCCCTGCGTCTCTGACACTGACTCTGCGCTCTAACGCACGCCGCCGCACAATCTACCCACTCTCCCGTTCTGGACTCTCGCCGATCGATAATTGCTCCAGCAGCTGATTTTGCACTTTCGCAGTATTTTTTCTACATTCAGCTTGAAAAAGCTGAGATTTTTCGACTTTCGGCTTCAATCGTTAAAGGTGAGTATTCTTACTAAAATTGTATCACAATTTGCATGAATTTAGCTTGAAATTCCCCTAGAAAACATTTTTTTCCTTCTGATTTTCTTCACATTTTCTTCACAGGCGACTTCGAGCTTCAGAATAGAGTCAGAGATGGTTCTCGATAATAACGAGATCACATCTAAGACACTACTTCGAAAACCCGTTCAATAACATAAAAGAAGTGGGGACAATAAGGAAAAGTTTGGACGAATTGCGAAAATCAGAAGGAAAAAATGTTTTCTAGGGGAATTTCAAGCTAAATTCATGCAAATTGTGATACATTTTAGTAAGAATACTCACCTTCAACGATTGAAGCCGAAAGTCGAAAAATCTCAGCTTTTTCAAGCTGAATATGGCAGGAATTCGGAGAAAATGCGGCAGGAATCAGCTGATCGGCAGCGTCAGCCATTATCGATCGGCGAGAGTGCAGGACGGAAGAGTGAGTAGAGGGCGCGGCGGGGTGTGTTAGAGCGCAGAGTCAGTGTCAGAGACGGAGGAGGCAATGATGATAATTTCCTGGAATTTCTCGGCTTTCCATCGACACGCAATCAGCGGAACGCTCGCCGGCGTGGTCGTAGGGAACGCCCCACCGTCCGGTGAGCGCTCCACTGTACACGGTTGTCGAACGACGAGTTTTATTTTGAATCCTAAGACAAAATTGTAGGTAATGCGAGGCTGTTGTTCAGCCTCATATTGCTGAAACAGCCTTTATTGCCTGGATTTTAGAGCAGAGTCCGCCTTTCGAAAATCCAGATTCCATTTCAGGAAGCCATTTGGTGTGAACATGCTGGTTGTCAGTTAGAGCAGGAGGGGGGGGGTCGTAACTGGACCCTCTTCGAGGGGGGGGGTCGTACTCACACCGCCATTTCGCACATCCCCATGCCGTACCCTGCTTATATAGCGCCCTTCGCTCCGCCCATTGGGCGTGGAGTGTTTTGATTGGCCACTGAGTGACCTTTCCCACGCTAGGGGCTCCTCCGCCGTGCCGGAGCCGATCAATACAGGCATAGTCGACTGCCCAAGGTCGACCATGTATCGATTTGTGTAAGGGCAACGCAATAAACCTATAAACATGGCATAACCAGGTACACTGAATAACGAGGCCTTATGAGTACCTGAGGCGGAGGTGGTCTAGTGAAAAATGGGGTGCTACCACTCGCGCGGTCCCGGGTTCGAATCCCGGGTCGACTCCCGCCCACCAAGCCTTCTACCCTCCGGGGACGGTAAATTGGTACCAGATTCGTCTGGGAGGATAAAACACTGACTTGTACATCGGCTGGCCACCGCAAGTCATTGTATAGGCCACATCGCATTCAATAAGCCACTACGATTCTGAATGGAAGTAGAATGCGTGCCGCATCCCACAAAGGGATTGATCAACGGCGAAGACTTTATCCTTTTTATCCTTTATGAGTAGCTGACATTTCCCTCGCCCTCTCCTCCCCCCCCCTCCCTTACGGTAATGGCTGCCCCACTCAGCCCATAACCACCAGTTACAACGGATATAGTGTATTGATCGAACCTATCAATATACCATGGTCAAACATTACCCAATCAAATAGGACCTTCATTTAATTCCAAGTAACCGAGATAATGAGTGACAACAATACATACGTGGTAAAGCACAATTTACGAGCTACAAAAACAGTGAGCGGTACAACAGTATAAGTATAGACGACCAAAAGGTAAAACATGTAAAACTGTACAAGACACGTCCTACTCCCCCCCCGCTGGGTTGGCTGCCCCCCTCAGCCCGGGTTACCATTGCGACTTAAGGGGTGGGCACGGGTACAGCTGTGGTTGCTTGGTGCTGTGCTATAGGTGCGTCCTCGCATTGGTCTCGGAGAGTTCGGCAGATCGCGTCCTCGCATCGGTCTCAAATCGCGTCCTCGACGGACGTTGTGGTGTCTGGCCCTTTATATTGCTTGCCGGGTATCCTGAGTAGTAAAGTTGTAACGATGATTTGAATTCTGTGGTTAAGGTCGAGCAGGTGAAGTGTTCGATTATGGCTGAACCGCCAGACGTCGCCTTTACCTTGGGCCGGATAGCCTCCTATCTGAGTCAGTCCGACTCTCCTGCTGGTCCTCTTGTGCTGTGTCTTTAGCGAGTGCTTCGACTTCGGACCGTTCTCCTGTATGGGTGCAGGCGAAGGTGGATTCCATAGCAGATGACGGTCTCGTTCAGGAATCTCTTGGCCTGCGCGGGCGTATAGGACGGTATGGTCCGTCGCACTCCTAATATACGATGTGGGGCTCTGTTCCCCTCGTCCGCCTTTGTTGGGAGCAAATTGATGATGCGGCGCTTCAAGGCTGGTCGCTGGCGGATAAGCTCATCTGCGACGTCGCGAAGAAAATCCTCGCCCGCTTCCAGTTCGTAGTCATCCTGAGGCCCAGCGATCAAAAACAAGTCAGCTCCCATGGCCACACACTGCATGATATCGAGCAACGGTATGGTCCTATCGTTGGGGAGAATAAGACAATGGCGGACGTTTCGTACTGAAACCGTTGTCGACTGATGATGTCGCGCGGGCTTTTGTATGCGTAAGCGTGTTGCCAGTCCGTCGTAAATCCAGTACATGATTGCGGAAGCCAGCCGGGAGGATGACAACGGTGTTTTTGCATCGTATCCTTGACCATCTTTCAACGGTCCACGGCTTCAATAAACTGAACTTCTTTAGGGCTTCCCTAACGATACGATTGACATCAAACGATTGGTCACCAATTCGGGGTGGGTGTGCCTCTGCTCTTTCGATCTGCGCGAATGAACCGTGCGACTAATGTGCATGCATGCCCCCCTGAAATACGCGTATGCAATAGCTAAAGCGCTTGGTGACAATGTGTGATAAGAATCATCAAGTAATAGATCACGCTTGACGGCGTCTGGTGTATGAGTCTGCATCGCAATCGTGAGAGCTCGTCCTAGCTCGTAGGGCGTGGTCGGTGCCCATTCTGGCACTGGCGCATTCGGTAGGATTGTCGACCACGGGCGCCGGAACAAGCACGGCAAATAGCTGGTTGTGGTGCACGTAAGTCTAAGGACACTGGAAATCGACTGTGGCAGGATCGTTCTTGTCGGACCGGCGATCGCTGAAAGTAATACGATTGCATTTACGAACTGTGAGTGAATCGTGTCCTGCTGTCAAGCGAGGTGCAGACTCTGTCGCTACAGGTACTCTCTTTTTAGGTCGCCCTCTACGCCCTCTTTTAGTGAGACCTTTAACGGGGGTGTCGTCAATTTCCGGCGGTACTTTGACGAGGTGATCAAACGGAATTCTCAATGGCTCCTCGTTATCTCCTATCAGAGTGATCAGAGCTGAGTTCCGACTTGCCTCAAGTACACGATAGGGTCCTGTCCAATCATAGGTCAACTTAGGATGAGATGCTTTGCCCTTTTCTGCCGGTATTTTCATATACACTCTGTCTCCCGTTTGGAATGTTTGCGACTTTCCTCTCTTCCATTGCTTGTCATAGGAGTTTCCATTAAACGCGGTATTTCTCAGCGAACACTCTCGCGCCAGCTTCAACCTACACAGGAACCAGTCTTGTAGTCATCATAGTTTACCTGATAACGGCGACAAGTGTTCCCTTGGGATGACTGAGGACGGGTACTGCGGATCACGTCCGTACACCAAGAAATGCGGGCTTTCAGCGGTTGCTGCGTGTGGTGAGGCGTTGTAAGCATACACTACTGCCGGTAGGATTCTATCCCATTCTGCGGGAACTACCGTCTTTTTCTTGAGCATGCTTACGATCGTGCCATTGGTTCGTTCTGTCAGTCCATTTTCGCGTGGACAGTATCCTTTTGTGAAATCTTGTTCAATTTTCAGGATATCGCAGAGTGCTTGGACGACAGCATTCTCGAACTCTCCACCGCGATCGGAGAAAATGCACTCGGGCCATCGCCCTCCGAGGCATATCCACTGGCTGAAGATCACTTCAGCGATGGTATCGGCTTTTTTGTCCGGGACAGGATAGGCACCAAGGTATTTGGTGAAATGGTCGACAATAGTAACAATGTATCTGTTACCTCTAGTTGTCGTGCCCATTTCTAGGACGTCTACTCCAATAACTTTAAATGGTCGTAGAGTGCGTCTTGGTTTGAGTGGTGGGGTATTCAATTGCCTCGGGCTTGTCAGAAAACATTTTTGGCATAGGCCACAATACTGAATTTTTCAACTACGCCATCATCTTTCTAGGGCCGAAACGTTCCGCTGCGGTTGGCATCAAAAATCTGACGACTTCGGCTCTCAGGAACTACTAATGCTGACGAGCCGTCTTCCAGGATAAGCTTCAAGTGGTCTTGAGCCATCCGGAAATCCTTTGAGCTAAGTTTGCGATCGTGCCGGGGAAGTCGAACTTCCATATCGATCCCTTTCTCGACGGCTTCAATTATGGGGTTCCAGTCTTTATCTTGCCTGAGTTCATCCAACCAGCAGGTAGGTCTCACAGAGCAAACGACTTTCTCGTTTTCGTCGTGTGTCGGCGGCTCATCTTCTTTAGGATTGGCGATTCCTGGAGATAGGGCGTCAGCGAGTCAAGTGGTAACGTTGCGCTGTGTTGAATAACGACGTTGATGAAGCATGGTCCGTCCTGACTACGGTGCGCACCCCGTAGATGAAGTAATGGAACTTTTTGAGAGCGTAAATAACCGCTAAACCTTCTTGGTCGGTTACGTGATAATTCCGCTCAGCCTTTGAAAGGGGTTTCGAAGCAAAGTAAAGCGGATGTAGGAAACCGTCTTCTTGCTCTTGAGCTAGCACAGCACCAACTCCGACACGACTGGCGTCCGTATAAATGATAAACGGTCTCGAGCCTTCTCGTGCTTTTTCGATGTCGGGCTGGGAGAGCACTGGTGCTTTTGAAAGCAACTGTTTCAGTGACTCAAAAGCTGTCTGCTGCTCCGAACCCCAGTCGAAAGCGACCTTAGGGCTTGTTAAAGCATACAAGCGGCCCAACTGTTTGAGCGAATCTGAGAACAAATTTTCTATAATGACCGGCCATTCCTAGGAAGGTGCGTAATTCCGCTAAATTGGACGGTCTGGGGAAGTTCACGATCTTAGCGACCTTATCTGGGTCTGTTCTGATGCCTTCCGCATCGATGATGTGCCCTAAGAACGCGACTTCCGTCTCGAGAAGACGACACTTCTGCGGCTTTATCTTAAGATTAGCCTCTCTAAATGCCTGGAGTACTCGTCTGAGAACGTGGAGGTGTCTCTCCATGGAATCCGTGGCATTAAGATGTCGTCTATATAGACAGATACTTCGGCTCCCATCAAGTTTCCTAGGCACCTTCTCCATGAGTCTCTGGAAAACCGAAGGGGCGGTAGTTAGCCCAAATGGGAGTACTCGAAACTACAGGTACAGTCCAGCTGTGGTAGTAAATGCGCTGATCTGCTTGGCCGTATCCGTCAGTGGTATTTGCCAGTAACCGCTGGCAAGATCTAGAGAAGTGAAGAATTTCTTCCCTTTCAGATTTTGCAATGTTACATCGATGGCGGGAAGTGGATATGAATCCTTCTTCGTCACTTTATTGACTTCTCTATAATCTACGCATAATCTAATAGTGCCATCCTTCTTGGCCACTAGCACTATCGGGGATGCCCATGGTGATGAGCTGGCCTCTATGATATTGTGTTGCTCCAAGTCTTGGAGCATCTCTTTGACCTGCGTTCTCAGTCCGTACGGAACTGGACGCGTCTTCTGTCGTATTGGAGAATGCCCTTGAATGTCGATATCGTACTCGATGAGGTGTGTCTGGGTCAGTTCAGTATCTGAAACTGCGAAGACGTCCTGATATTCTCGGATCAAGCTTTTGAATTCCTCCGGGAATCCACCTGTGCGCTTGTTGCTCTCGAGAACTTGAATTACCTCCGAGGCTTTCCCCTTTTCGGGTACTTCTGTTGCCTTTTCGAGTACATCGCCAGGTATCTCAGCCGTATTCGGGTCGTACCAGAGGTCATTTGACCATTCTCCTAGCACTTTTCCTTTCGGAATTACCCATGGCTCCTCACCTTTGTTCACGACAGGTATGATACCATGTCCATGAGATATGCGGCATACTCCTGATGCTATTTTGTTGCTATTGGACCAGAAGACCTGCTCTGAGTTGCAGTCTTCTCTTTGAAGCTCGAGAACGTCTTCTGCTGTACTTCGTGGTCACTATCGGTATCCGTCTCAGGTGTCAAGCTTACCCCGATGCCTAACGCCTCCATGGCGTTGGTGCCGAGAAGAATAAGGGTATCGCTTGCTTGCTGAACGTGTAATTGGACATTGGCTTTTTTAGCGCCTTTGACCTTAATGTCGACTGCGATCCTCTTGAGGAACGTCATCGGATTTCCTGACGCATCGAGCACTTCGTCCTTGTCGGCATCTCCTAGAATGGTCCCCGTCTGGTCTATGTCAGCCCCTAAGTTGTGAGCGAGTTGCAGAAGACCTACGGGTATGATAGATATGACTGAGCCCGTGTCTATGAGTGCTTTCGTGTTCAGACCGAACACTTCAATATCGCAGTAACACGGCTCGCCATAGGCCTCTGTCCTGGTGGGTGCACTTTTTCGGACTCCGTGACACCATGACTTCAGATGTGTCGAGAGGGATGGGCGGTTGTTGTGACCCACTGGATGGAAACCCTCTTTTAGAACGTGCTGAGTCCTTTTTCTGACTGGATCTCGAGGATGAGGGTTTGTTCTGCTGGCTGCACTCACGATGAGAGTGGCCGTGCTGCCCGCACGGTACTGCTCTCTCTTGGTTCTCAGGCTTCATCCTTCGATGTCACCCTTGCATCGAATTCCAGGGCCTTCGCCTTTCCAGTTGGACGGGTTTCCGCGTTCGCTCTAATCTCAAAGCAACTTTGCGTACTTCCTCGAAAACGTATCCTTCAGGAGCGTCCAAAGCTGCGAGCATGTGATATGAGTTCGCCCAGTGGGGTACAGGGGTGCTGAAGTCACTCTTCGTCAAGATGGGCTTCGCAAAAAAACTCACTTGCGAGCCACGCGTCGCGCACTTACTGTGGTCACAACGAAAGAGGCTTGGCCAACAATAACAGGACAAAAGAGTAGGCAAGAAGCAGCGAATCATTTCAGCAGTACTGTTACATGGAAGGTAGCTGAAAATTCCACGGTGATCACCGATTGCATGATTGCTCCGGAGCGAGCACGGGCTGATAAAAAGCTTATCTAGAAAACCGCAAAGATGACAGCGCCTTTACGTGGCTTGTCGTCCGCCGCACGATCGCAGCAACACTGCTCGGCATGCGCCGGTGCTCCCTACCAATAGGTTCTTCTCTCCTTCGTCAATACGCTAGCCGCTTCGTTCGACACGACTTGCCCACAACTACTCTGCGCCTTCTCACTGAGAAAGTCACAAGAATCGTAAAAAGCATGTTTTGTGAGAGTGTAAACAGGAGAGAAGTTAAGGAGGGAAAACTTCTCATCTAAGTTTCTAGAAGAATAGTTTCCGATAGTCCTAGCGTGATTGCACGCTGATGTTAACTTGAATGCAATCAAGTTACCCTCTTGGAAAGTTAGATGATCGCGGTTCGGTGACAGGTTACCCTTCGATTACTTGCCGGTGGCTGCCCTCCTAGCTTACCTTAGCTGGGCAAAATGCATGTAGGCAACTCCAGACCCCCCTGCCTAACATGGTACACCTTTCCTGTGGGTTTCCCCAGGGGCCTGTCTTTTCCCTCTGAAGTGGACTGCACCCTGGTGAACATGCCTACAGCCTTTACGCAGGGGAACAAAGATGATAACAACGACATGACTCTACATTACGTACTAGCGCTTATGGCGGGTCTCTTGTCCTGGCGCTCCCTCTTCTCCCTAATAGCAATGAACACAACATGACACGGCTCAGTGTCAGCGCACTGACGTGCTTCGCCTTTCCGTGCGCTGCCAGCTCCCTGATTTAGTAAGGCAGCCCATCATCCGACGGCGCTCCTGGGCACAAGCAAAGCGAGCTTCGATGAGTTTAGCTGGGCGCAGGTGTACCAGAATAGAAAGGTGTAGGGTGTGCACAATCACGCCGTCCCCTTCAGCTGGTGCCGTACCTTGTATACAACGCGCCGTACTGCCACCCGAAGTCACCTTTCACCGGCAGAGGTGTCCACGTGGCAATTTGAGTTTCCCCACATGGTCCTGTTGCGAAATCGTGCGCGCAGACAGATACAGGACGGCAGCTGGCAGGGCATCGAGAGGAGCGAATGACCGAGAACATGGTGCGACTATGAATTTTTCGAGATGAGGGAAGTCCGGCGAGGGAGAGAGGGGGTGAGCCACTGCGCGCGAAAAGTTGTAATGTTTGAGGGCATGATGCTCACAGAATGCCATGCAGAGAAAAATAGAAAATTACCGCAAAAAAAAGTGAAAAAGAGAAGGTCAATGGAGGGATCTGGTTCAAGTTGTCTATTGACCGGCAAAAGCGACCGATAGATTGAATTTGGCGGGGAAGAATTAGCGCGGGCTTGCGCCTATTGGCGACGTATAACGCGCATTGGCCTTGGAGCATGGCAGTGCTTCCATGCGCGCGGTGAGCACGAGACATAAGTCGCTATTCGCTACAAAATGGGGACGACGTATACTAGCTTGCAAATTCGAATTTCTACTTTGTCGAATTTCGAAATCACCTAATCCAAGAGGTAACACTAATTTTTGACATTATCTCACTGAGAGCATATAGACGAGCAGCAACAACACTGTGATCATCACAGTAAGAGGCATGGACAGGATTAGAGCACGAGTTTCTGCTACCCCTGCTGCACACTTTTGATACACTACGGCGAGAGTGGTACACTGCGCAGCTGCGTACCCTCTTACTTCAGACACAGACCAAGACCTACTTCTAAGCAAGGAGCGCTCCTTGCTGCCTGATGAAACTGTACATTCACATTCGCAGACGAAGTTAGCCATGTGCGGGGCTATTTGGTCCATATCTGCAGTGGAGCGCCACTTTTTTTCCCCTCAGAAGTGCACGGGAATGGGGCTGGAGTGTCGTGACGGTCTCGCTGAGGTCTCCCGATTCCGCTCGCCCTATGCTCAAGGCTTCCGTGCCCTTTTGAGTGGAGCAGCTGCGGATCCCTTCACAACGCACATGGCAAGGAACAGAAGATGGAGATGAGTGCACGGTTTGTCTTTCAACTATAAGACAACATTTAAGGATTGGCATACGGTTATCTTGTTGGAGTCCCACCCATATTCGGCTTGATTACTGCAATTTTTGGACCTGTCTTCTACGCAATATTCGGCACTTCACGGCACACGTCACCTGGTACGGTTTTTTTGCTTTAATTCATGAAATAGGATGACGAGTACTGGATTAAGGCTGCTTCGCGATCGCTGCACTTATGGTTGGTGGCGTTGTGGAGCAAGTTCGGCAGTAAACCACCCAACGGTAGGTTCAAGTAACAGCACTCATTGGGACTACCACTCCAAAAGCGTTTTTTAGCCCAGAATAATAACACCGCCCCACTTCCGGTAATATGCTGTCAAGCTTCAGCATCAGCGGTGCCTCCAGATGAAGCGGTGGGTGTTGCCTCCTCGGTGACGCTTCTCGCCGGCCTGTGGCAGGTCACTTATCACTATTGCTTCGCCTTCTTACTCACCAATACAGGATAGTTGCAGATATTTTTTGGTCTACTCAATGCGGGCCTTCTTGCGGTATGGTTGTCCGATCATTTAGTCCAAGGTTCGTTCAGCGAAATTCGGGCAAATTTACTATGATCTTTTACCGCCACTAAGTGGCCACTAGTTCGCTGCGGACGAAGGAGCGTGTCAGGCGGGATTAGTTTGGCGCGGTGTCAAACCTGTGCAAGCCGGTGACAA